TTGTCTGTGCCTGACTGGGAGCAGGTTTGGGAGGGCATCGGGGCAGCATTCCATCCGTCGCCTTGGCTCGCCAGGCTGGAGGAGGAGAAGCTCTGCGATACGCGGACGCTGCCCCGCTCACCCTGTGACGCTCACTTCCCTACCATCTCTCCCCAGGTCTGATGCTGTTTCTCCCAATTTTCCATAAGCAGAACGAGAACCAAATCAAATGTCCTATCGGTGCGTAGAGCAATGGTGGGTAGACTGCGCAGCACAGGCAGGGCTGAGAGCAGGGCACAGCACCTGGCTCAATGGCACTCACCTGTTTATAATACAACCCTTCCTTCTGCCTGTAAAAGGTTCCTCTGCTTTTGAGTCCTTGGTGCTCTCTTCCTGCCCTAGAAAGCACGGGAATGCAAAGGGTCTGCAAAGCAGTTGTTGGTTAATTGTTTCTCCCTCTGTTCTCCTAGCTGTTGCCCCTGACCTCCGTGGACCACGGTCAACCAGCTGGCTCTGGCCTCTGCCAGGACTGGGGCGGGAGGGGACGTAGCATCATGATGGACAGGTCTATATTATAATTGAAAGAATTCTGTATTATTGAATAAAAGTTTTAAGAGGAAGAGGAATATTCAGTGGGGAGGGAGCCACGAGGCAGGGTGAGCTTTTCCCTGCCTGGGCTTGGCAAAAAAGCTGGAGGAACTAGTTATACAAAAACGCTGTGGGTAGAGGTGAAGGAGCCACTACCTGCCTTTGGGGACCCCTTTAGACTCCTCTGTGCTCTTCTGGAGGCCTTGATGCACCTGAGGTGCTTGAGCACCTGTCTGGGTGGCAGTCTGGATGCTAATGCTGGTACCTGCTTTTTCCCCACCCCATAGAGCTTGGATATGGCCCTGTCTGCGCCCCGGGAGCTCCTTCCTCCTCTCTCTCTTGGGCTGAGCCTCCTCTGAGACCTTCCTTCCCCCTAGCACCTTTCCCTGCAGAGCCCCATGCTCCTGCAGCTCCTGCTCACAGGCTTACCTGCTGCCTCAGGCCATCCCTCATCTCTGGCACAGCAAGCCAGGCATCTCCCCCTGCTCCTGGCAGCCCTCTGCCCTGCTGGCCACGATCCTGCTTTTGCACGGGGCAGCCTTGCTGACAGCTCTCAGGAGAGCCTGGTTGTAAGGCTGGTGGTTATCTGAGCAGGCTCTGGGCACGGGGCCGGCCAGGCAACCTTTGTTTTGACGTTAGCAGACCCAGGCACTTTGAAGCTCTGCTCTGAAATCCTCCACTGGGATTCTGTACCACTGTACTTGGTCGTTTCCCTTTGCCCCGTTCCTTCCCTGCCTGTGTGGTTTTTCCCCGGTTACTGAAGCTGCCTGGGGTAAGGCTACCTCTGAGATAAAGCTCTCAGCTGTACTAGTATGATTTTCGTTTCAGCAACCTGAAGGCTCACTAAATACCTCCCAAAACAGCACTTCCCTGTGACGTATGTTTACAACAGCCTTATGGAAGCGGTCCTGTGCATGTGTATATATGAGCTCGGTATTTGCTAGCTGTGTTTGTGCGTATGGGCCTGTGTATCTGAGCAGTGGTGCCATGTCCCACGCAGGCTCACTGGGAGGGGGAAGCAGGGGGATTGCAGAGGTCTTGCAGATGGAAGAGCAAGGAGTAGGGAGCAGGTCTCTGCACTACCATGACAGCCATCTGATCCTGGTGAGGACATGCAGGCACCACTGAGCCAGCAAAAAATGTAACAGTGAAATGCAGAGACTCAGCAGCAGTTCCCAGGGAGGGGAGCTGGGTAAGGCAAGCGGTGGGCTTGTGTCTAGACAGAACCACACGATGCTTTTCTGACCCCTATGCAGTGACTGAAATGGAAATGCAGGAGTGAGACCTCACACAAAGCCTGCAGGATTACACATGGAAATGCCAATACTGTCCCCATGTAATATCCCCATGTGCCCCATGGCACATGGAGATGTGCCAATCTGGGGGTCTGGTGTGCACTTATCTATCAGGTGGGTTTAAGCTACTGACGCTTTGAGGTAGGGCTTCATCTGTTGCAGAGGCAAGGTGTAAAGACAGTCTCTGTTACACCTACGGTACCTAAGAGCTGTGCTGATCTGACTTCTCTGGTGCTTAAATTCAGCCAAGGTTGCTTCTTGCCCTGCTTATACCAGCCTGGTGGTGAAAGCCTATCCCTGTGGACGGAGCCCAATGTGCTGGCCATCTGAGGTCCCTCACACACTGTGCAGAAGTGAGGCTAGCTCAGGCAGAACAGTGGTCCCTGCAGCATGTCTCCACCACCAAGTGCCACTGCCACCTCAGTCCTCCCTCTCCTAACATCCCCCGCTGCTGGGGTATGTCTTCCAGCCCCACCACACTGCCAGCCACAGCCTAGCTTCTCTCTTAAGGATGCTCTCAATGACTACTTGGTTTTTTATGGTTTAGTTTTTTACCAGTTGTTTGCCAGAAATAGGTCAGAAAACTCTGCTGATTTGCTGCCCTCAGTTTGTCCAGAGCCAGAGGGGGTTGATGCATTCTTCACCCTTGCTCCACCCTGACAGCCTTCCTGCATGTCCTCTGATCTCTCTGTGGCAGCGTGTCCTGCTTCCTTGGCTTCCTCTGCAGGACAATTCCAGCACACAGTGGCACAGCCTCTCTCTGCTGCACACTGAACTGTGAGGTCTCCTTTTCACTTTTGATCTCATGTAACAGCCTAACTTCCTCTGCCTCCTCCTGGTGTGAGTCTGCACTGCTACAAGCTCAGCCGGCATGTGCATCCCAAAGCCTTCCACAGCCTTTGCCCAGGTTCCCCTAGGCACCTAAAGCCACTTCTGCAGCATGCTCGCTCCACATACTCTGGATATGCATTTTCTTCCCAATTCCTTTTTTGGTTTCCTCGTTAAAGTGGCCCTTCATCCAGTCCCACTCTCAAAAGATAATTCAGGTCAGAAGAGACCACTAGAGTTGTCTGGACAAAGCCCTGCCCAAAGCATAGCTCATGCCAGAATCTCATGTCCCTTGTAGAAGTCATTTGCTTTGTCCTTGTTTTTGCCATGCATGACAGGCTTTGGGCTCACAGAGATACTTACTGAATTTGGTTCTGGTTTTACTGGACCAAGCATTGTTTTATCAGCAGCCCATTGGGCCATGCAGCACTAAGCAGTTTCTCTGCTCTCCAGTGATGGCTTAAGGTCAGGATCCAGGTTAGGCCACGAACCCAGAGCAAGTGCATCCACCTCCAAGGCAAGCACAGACTTGGTGATATTGGAGAGAGCTGCTACATTTACTCTCATAAACACCTCCAGCAATGTGAAACTTAGAAGAGCAATGTTTCAGGAGCTTCCTGAAGATCTCATTCCCCTGAAGGCATCAGATTGCTGGGAACTCTGAAGGGCAGGAAATGCTTTAGCAGACAGTTATTTTTGGAGTGGGGACCTCTGTTCAGTCAGTCCTCAGACCAGATTACTCTCTTAGGATGGACCTTTCCCTCTGCACAGTCCCCCAAATCCAATTCCTCGATACCTTTAGAGTGAGGATGGAAGGCATGCGACATACCTGTGCCTTCCCAGCAATCTCCAGGTAGATAACATCATTCTCCAGCAACTGATGGGGTTGAGCCATCCTGCCGAGCAACATCATGGGGCCTGGGCTTGCGGGGCGAGCCAACCACTTCTTGCCAAGTGAGCACACGGTGGCATCGATAGGACATCAGCGAGAGCCCCCTGGAGCCAGTGGCTGGCTCAGGTTTGCCTGCAGCTGGAGATCCAGGGCTGGGCCTGGTGGGAAATGACCACACTGCAGATCCAGACAGCTCTGTGTGCAACATGGGTTTTGGGACAGCTTTTCCAAGGTGCTGAAGGGAGATCACAGCTTGAGTCTCATTGACATATATCAATGACATATATCTCCCCAAGGCCTTTTTTTGAATTCTGAATTTTGAATATGTGTTAACATCCCATTAGGCTCCTCTGTTTCTTCCCTCTCCTTTAGCCCATACACGCCCTTAGACAAGAGGAGACACAACAAGTATTGTTTTTCTTTAAAATTCACTGAGAAATAAGGACAAACAAATTGAAACCACAACTTATTTCCCTGTACATCCCTTGCAGCAAAACATGGCATTAAAATGGTAAGTGGAGAGTGTGTGAATAAGCAGGCTGTTCAGGAACGGCAGCTGGATGTTTGTCCCAGGTGTCTCTTGCCATCTGATTAAGGGACTAAGTTGTTTAACTGTGCTGTATGAGGTGTACTCTAGCCAATCATTTCTAAATAATCACAGAATCACAGAATCACAGAATCGTTTAGGTTGGAAGGGACCTCTGGAGATCATCTCGTCCAACCTCCCTGCTCAAGCAGGGTCACCTAGAGCATATTGCCCAGGATCACATCCAGACGGGTTTTGAATATCTCCAGCGAAGGAGACTCCACCACCCCTCTGGGCAACCTGTTCCAATGCTCTGTCACCCTCACAGTGAAGTGCCTTGCTTTTGGTGGTTCCTCATGTTTGTGTGAGAACTGATAGCCTGAGAATGAGGATTAGTAAATGCAGGAGAAAGTGCTGCTAAACCGGAAGCTGCAAAGGAGCGCACATTTGGGGCAGTCGGAGCATTTGGGGGTCTGCGGGAAAGACGAGCACAACTAGCGAACAATGTCATGGCCATCGATGGGATTTGGACAGGGTGTTAGTTAACAACAAGAGGCTATACGGGGGCCTGGAGTTAAGTTGCAGGACTGTTACCTTGATGCAGGATGGTAATTTTTATGCTATTTAGTGTCTGTACATTGATGATAGAGGCTATATTTGTTATTACAGTAGGGATAAGTTTAATATTTTTTTATTTAAAAATATAGTTGCTAGCCAAAATTGTCCCTTTTAAGTCTCTTCGGATGTGCAAGGCCCCGTCTATACTTTAAAGCACTTTCACAGCAGCAAAGCTGTTCCCCCCCCCCCCCCCCCCCCCCCCAATGGCAAGGTACTACATCGTACCCCTGTTGACAGAAATAAAAAAAAAAAAGAGTTTATTGGTAGTTAAACAGTCAAAGACAAGGGTTATCGCTGGCATGATTATCTCAGAGCATAAAGATGGACCCATTCCAACAGATAACGCTTTCCTCTGGAGGCTAGGCCAAAGCTGAAAGCAATAACAATTAAAAAAGGAGTAAGTACACAGCATGAAAAATTAGGGTTGTACAGTGCTCAGTGCTGTTTCTTGCTCATGATAAGGACTGTTTCTGAAGATGAGCTGGATTTGGCTCGTGTACCTGGGGCACAGAGATTTCCTGGAAAATAAATGGTCCCTTGGCAGCCTGGCAGCATATGCAGCAGGTGCAGGGCTCTGTTCACCCACCACGTGCTCCTGTGTGAGAAGTTTTTGTGACTCTTGATTTCAGATTTCTCTTACCAGTACTGGTAAGAGGCAGAGCCACCGCTTTGGCTTGAGCAGCAGCAGTGGGTGGCTGGGTTGGGCTGGCTGAGGGCAGGGAGGGAGAGTCCCTGGCTCCTATGTGCAGCCACATCACATCATCTGTTTCCTATATTCATGGAAAGCCACTTTCATTTCTTGCATCTGCTACTACTTGAGGATGATTTTCCAGAGCCTCACTCCTCAGGCACCTGTATTTTTGGGCAAATACTTTCACGCTGGGGTTTTACCATTTGTCCTTGCATGCGCTGAGCTGGGTACCTCCACAGAAGTCAGTGGAGGCTGGATCTTGTCTAGTCCGGTCTGATCTGTGCTCCTGCAAAGAACAGGCAATATTTGCCCATCTCCCAGAAGAGTGTAGCAGGGCAATCTCCTCAACAGTACTCCTTGGTCTGGGGAGTTGGCACTGCTCTAGAAACACAAAAATGTCCCTTCCCACTAATCCAGAAATTCAATCCATCATGTGGGCACAAATCACCACATTTCAGCACAAATAAGCCAAGCAACTGGAGCCATTCCCCTTTCTCCCTTGGGAAGAGATCCTTGCACAGGGCTGGCGCTTCTCTGCATGGCTCAGAGCAAAAGCGACTGGCATTAAGCAGAAGCTGGAGTTATTGTACTGAAGGTGATGCTGCCGCTATGTTTGCGTGTTTTCCTGCCCCTTCCTCCTGCTGTGTCTGGTCTGCCTCATGATGGGTATGTCTGGTATCAGTGAGTGCAGAATCTGGCCCATTTCCACCCTGAAATGGAATAATTCTGTCCTGAAATGCTCTCTAGGAAAATGCCACTGTAAGAACAAGTGTGACGCTGCAGTGGGATGATCTCCCACATCAGCTGGTGTGTAGGAGGCTTTTCTGGAAAACATGGGTTTTCGCAGACATTCCAACAGTTTCTGATCTAATGAGGCAGCAACCTCTGGCACCAGAGCATCCCTGTGAGTGCCACATCAGTGCTCTGGAGAAATGAAAAGCTTTGAGCATATGGCTGCAGCTCTGGGAGTCATTGTGTGACAGCAAAAATCTTCCCTTCCATCCCAACCAAAGGTGTTGGCATTCTCTTTGGCCATAGAGATATAGAAAATGACCTGGAAATGTCTTGGAAGGCCTGAGTCGGCAAATTCCTTGGGAGTAATGTGAGCTGCTTTCCGGTACTTACATTTTGCAGTAACGTTACACCCTGAACTCCGATTCCCATATGATGGGCTAATCTCTGAACAACTACATTTATCACTCACTTTTTAATGGAGCTTTTAGCATTAATAATCATGCTGGATTTCTAATTGGTATGTGTAACTGCTGATGTCCACAAGCTACTCAGAGCAGTGTCCAATGCCTGGATGGCCAAATGTCACCTACTGGGCATGACCACTGCCAGTAGTAACATGGGGCAGATTAAGCTTGGGAATTTGGGATGCAAGAGCTAGGCTAAGGGGAGTACCAAAGTGATGCACACGTTGTCCAGATGCTCCATTCTTTTATAACCAGCAAAGAGAGAGACTTAGGCCCCCCTAAGACAAAACACAGGAGAGCCAAAACTGTGAAATACGCAAAGGAAAACGTGCATTGTCAGAAAATCAAAAAGCCTCCTTCTGGCTGGTGGTTGCAAACTGTCGGGGGAGAATGGGGACATTTCAAAACTGTATCCATGTAAGTCAAGTGTTCATTAGATTTAATATTAGGCACTTCATTAGCTGCAATGGGCCAGCTATGGCTGTGTGGCCTCGAACAACCTTGGCTTCAGTAACAGACTTAGCTGAGTGAATGAGAAAAGGGGATGGAGATGCCATTCTTGTGACTGCCGTCTGGCAATGTTTTATAGATGGGTCAAAACCATGGTGCATAATAGGAGAGAGAAGTGAGCCCTGTCTCAGCCAGGATTTCACAGTGGTGACAACTTCTCTCCTAGCTGGCATCTGCTCAGGATGGCGTCCTGGTGCTGAGGCCACGCTGGACCTACCTGCCCTTACAACCTGCACCGCCAGGCAGCTCTCTCATTCGGCAGCACACAGAAGGGCTCAGACATGGACCAGCACCAGTGAGCAATCTGCCCAGCACAGCCTTCCTCCCCTGCATCGACTTCTGGCAACTACAGCCACGACAGCAGCCTATCAACGCACAGGTCTTTGGGCCCAGGCTCTGGGTTCCCCAGCTGGAAAGGCCCAAGAGGGAGCTGCCCCTGGGGCCAGTCTGACACTGGGTACTTGCAGAGGACTGTGCATCATGCGTGCAGTATGTCTTGTTGTGAGTCACATGCAACAAAGATTTCTCTGTCCTCGGGGCATCTTAAATGGTTATGAGGACTCTTACCAGCCACTGTCTCTTTTGCTCCCTCCCATGACAGGCGCTTTGATTCATTGCTGAAACAAGGGCTTTTTGGTATGCACTAACATTAGCAGGAGAAGAGGTCAGATGTGCCTGCTTTTCAAGGTCCCTCCTTAGCTATCCTGCTCTATGTTAATCAAACATATTCACATGAAGCACCAAGGATCAGCGTTTTCAGCTGATGCTTCAGAAATCAGTAGTAACACGCAGGTCCCAGAAAGCAGGGCTGAGACTGGGAAGAAGATTGGATAGGTGTAGGAAGAGAGAACAGGTGTCCTGTAGGGAACCCCAAATCTAGATACCTGGTAGGGTTGTGTCCTCTTGCTTTGTCCTCAGTTAATAGTGCACCCATCAGGCACATGGCCTGTCACACCATCATTGCCGAGTCTGCGTTTGGCGACTGGACCGAGTGGCTTCCTCGTGGCACTGGGCATTGCTGGGCACCCAGGGAAGGGAGGACACTAGCCTGAGGCACTGCAGGCATGAGGCCAGCTATGGGAGGCTTCATACACCTGCTGGCCTCTGCGCCGCGGGGCAGCCCTGTGCAGTCAGCAGAGCTCCTGCGGCCCAGCCCGTGCGCGGCTCCCGGCCGGCAGCAACCCTCAGGGCATCCCGGGAGAGCCGGGCCCCGTGTCCCAGGGGCCATGGAGGGAGAGCAAGCAGGGGATGAAGCGCTGGGCCT